CCCCCCACGTAGTCTTAACTTGATGTCATAATACTCTTAATGTAATGTAATACGGCAGTTCTGCAAATACTGTGTAAATTTTATTGGAGAAATAAACTACACAAGACCGCTTAAAATATATCTAGCAGTTTTATTGTCATTGTTACCTTTTATCTTTTGTTCATTAGATGGTAGCATAAGCTAATGCGTGAACTTAATCATGAATATTTATTTCTTCCCCTTTCTTTTATCCACAGAAACAAACTATTTCCTGAGTCTACAGTTAGGAATATTATGTATCAGATTCTGCAAGGGCTTGCATTTATCCATAAGCATGGTAGGTTATGTTTTAGCTGTAAACATTTTGAATTAGAGTAAGATAGTGTCTGTGTAATTTTTTTAATGAGTACACTAACAATTACATTACTAACTTTGATAAAAGGAGTGATCAAAAGTATGGCACTATATGAGAGATTCAGATTACTGAAAATATCCATATTTTATAGTTGCCTGATATTTTAGTCTGGAGGTTTGCTCAGTTCCTTTTCTGTAGATTTCTACTGTCTCAGACTGGCAGCTGGCCACTTTCTAAAACTCATCTGATGTTAATGGGCACATTTCTTGATAGATTTAGAGGTCCCCTGAGACTGAGAATAAAGGAAAAATTACTCCTTTTTTCAAGGTACACACAGATACCTGAATAAAACACACACTGTCTGTAAGATACACTTAAAGTCATAAAGTGTGAGTGACAAACAGCTTTCATTGCATGGCCTTCCAACTGATTTTTACATGATAAAATGATAAAAGCTAAAGCTGGTGTACCAGCCAGTAGTAACAAGACCCACTTAACTAATTTAAAAAATTATTTATTTTAATGTTAACTTCCTCACCATGTTTTGCTGCTCCCTGCAATTCTGCCTGCTATATACACTGTAGTGTACGTTGCTGGTCAGCTCTTGGGGTTATCAGAGGAGAACTAACATCAGTGGCCAAAGTCCTGGAAGTGAAAGGCTTGTAGGACCAGCATTTCAGTTCACTTGAAGAACACATTTAACTTTGTTTTGCAAAACATTTTCAAGCTAATGACTTTACTCTCTATCCTAATGGGGCTTGGATACTCTCTTGGAAACCAAACTAGAAATCCCAGTCTGTTCCAGTGAGATACAAAATACTGAAGAACAGAAGAATAATATGGTTTATTTGCAAAAATCTAAGCTGCCTTTTCTTAATAAATTGTCAAATGGATCACAGCCTTTCGAAATACCTTTTCCTGCTGTTGAACTTAATATAGGTATAAAGAATGAACAATTTTGTGTCAAAACTAACTGTCTTGCTCACTGACCTGCTACACGTTAGACTGATATTTCTCTCAAGATGTTGCAAATCTGTAGTTAAAAAGATCTGGAAGTTCACGGCAAGCCTGACAAGATGGTCTTGATGGTCTTGTGGCCCACAGTGTAAGGCTGGGTGTCCCAAGATTCTCTCTGCAACAGTTTTGGAAAAATCACGTGAACTTTTTTTCCATCTCTTTATTTCTCTGTTCTGCACCTGTATGGCGTAGAAATGCTTGTCAAGTAAACTTCTTATGTTCTTTGTCCATCCAAACTCTGAGTATCTTTTCATATTTGAATACACAACCGGTTGCTCTTTTTACAAGTTTGCCAAGAAATAAATTGCCTCAAAAGCATTCTGTTGGTACATTGCATGTCTGTGCAGCAAAATACAGAAATGATTCTACTAAATGCTAAAAACAACCTTGATTACTCTGTCTGGTACCTTCCATAAAGAGGCAATAGTTCAAGCTGGCACCAGAACATGTACTTAATACCTTTAAGAAGGGCATAATCTGCTGGTTGGTAGAAATCTACAGCACTGTGTCTTCAATGCAGTCATGCATTAGTCTAACAAACTAAAGTTAACAGGATATACTGGGCAATGTAGACACATGCTATCTGAATGTTTATTCTGTTCTCTGTGGGAGCATATTCAAGGCCATGCAAAAAACGAAGCATGTTGGAAGGTCTCTGAAAAGGAGGTCATAGAGCTCTAGTAAGGTACTACAAAGGGAGCTGTATATAGGAAACAGTGGTCTCAGATGCCTGCAAGAAAGAAGCATAACGACAAGTTTTCCAGACTAAGGTTGGAAGCAAATTTCAGAGACAGTAGTCAGTAATGTTCTAGCCTTCTTCTCTCATTTGTATTGAAAGAGCTTTTGTCCAATGCTCATTTGTGATCAAGTTTTGCTGAATGCAGAGAGCACTAAAAAAATACACTGAGATCCTCTGTCTGATAGGGCAATGAGTAACTGAGTGCTTGCAGATTATTATGTTCTCAGATTTTAAAAGTTTCAAAGTGCAAAAAAATTACCTCATATTTTAGTTTGTATTCTGCTTAAAAGAACTTTTGAAGTAATTTTTTCGATGTCTTCATTGCACAGTTTCCAACACCGTTAGAATGAAACTAACATTAAAATGGTGTAAATTTTTTTATGTAAATTTTTTTCAAGTGTCACTTGAAAGGGAGCTGTCTGACTGAATGCTCTGAATTGTTATAAGGTAGTCAACTTGTGCATACTGTTCTTCACAGTCTGACTGAACAATCATTATACTGACTAGCTCTGTTGATCACTTAAGACTTTGAACTCTGTGTTGTGCTATTCAAGCTTCAGCAATAAGAACTAAAGCAAAACAATCCAGGTGGAAAATAAAGGCTATAGCTGGGGGTGGCATTGCAATGCACATCAATATTTCATTTGAATTTTAGGGTTCTTTCACAGAGACTTGAAACCTGAAAACCTCCTTTGCATGGGACCAGAACTCGTGAAAATAGCAGACTTTGGCTTAGCCCGAGAAATCCGATCTAGACCTCCTTACACTGATTATGTATCCACAAGATGGTAAGTGCTAGTATTCGCATACATTGTGTGAAACTTACAGTCAAGCCTTTGAAGAAGTATTAAATTTGTGCTGCATGTAATACCACTTTTGATGCCTCCTATTTATGAAACTTTTATTTAAGCTTGGCATAATTCGAAAAGCTACAGTTAGTGTAAGACAGTTTACAGATGGCAGCCGCACAGGAACAAAGAGGGAGCCTGATAAGGCAGGTGGGACATGCTGGGGTTGCTGCATGTCAGAAAGGCATAAGAGAGCTTACAAGAGCTTATGTAGGTTTTAATTCTTCATTCTAGAAAAAAAATGAAGTCTTATGTATAGGATGGGAGAGGATAGGAGCTTTTTAAGGGATGTTCGCTCTTAACAGCAAAGAATGAATAGCTGAATGGTTTCATGTATGCCTGTTTGAATCATGTTGATTGCTGGGATTTGTTTTTTCTTGTTTTCCTCTCTTTTTACAGGTACAGGGCTCCTGAAGTCCTTCTGAGATCCACCAGCTATAGTTCTCCAATAGATATTTGGGCTGTTGGTTGTATAATGGCAGAAGTTTACACACTGAGGCCTCTCTTCCCAGGCGCCAGTGAAATTGATACTATATTCAAAATTTGCCAAGTCTTGGGGACACCAAAGAAGGTAGCTAAAGTGACGTTCCACACTGCAGTAATACTAGAGGTGTTCTACAATACAGAATGGTACAATAGCAGTAAGCATAAAAATAATCAATTTTCACTCTTACTGCTGTTGTATGGTATTGATCGCTGATATAGTAAACTAAATTAAAACTTATTTTCTGTGAAATAAGCATTATATAATTATGCTATAAAACCTGACATTTAGAGCAGGAGAAATAGACCCCTGAACGGCAAAGAAAGTCATTAGACTGTGATTTCATTAGGCAGATATTTCATTTTCTCTTGCATATTGTGTATAAATCTATGGTTTAAGGGACTAGAATTTAGAATCATGGCAAGACTCCTATCTCCTGATTCAATTTGTGCCTTTGACTTGGATGTAAAGCAAGACTTAGCTCTCACCAGAGGCTTGAGGTGAAAATTTCTAGTGAAATTTTTAATATAGCCTAGAGTAAGCTGGAGACAGTCTGTTACTGATAGAGGAATATATGCTAGTGTACTTAGGCACTATGATGTTTTACAGCTGAACTTTCTTTGTGATTGGAAATCTCATTCTTCCAGAATGACTGGCCTGAAGGCTACCAACTTTCAGCCTCCATGAACTTTCGCTGGCCTCAGTGTGTACCTAACAACCTAAAAACCCTCGTACCTAATGCTAGCAGTGAAGCGGTGCAGCTCATGAGAGACATGCTGCAGTGGGACCCCAAAAAGCGGCCAACAGCTAGTCAGGTTTGGGTTTGTCTTCTTTTCTCACATCTGCATACAATGCTTCCTTTCACTGCAAGACACCTTTTATAGCCAGTCATTTAACGGTTGCTCAGGGGTACAGTTCTAACAAGGAAGAAGAGCAGAAGCCAAGAACAATTTGCCGGACAAAGGGGAGTAATTAAAAGAGAGTAATCAATCTTGTGCATGCAACATCAACTGCATGGGGTGTGTGCTCAATGATCAAATGTGTGACTGCATTGTGTATATGTACACCTGAATTACGTGTAGTGCAGTCACTGTAAATAGCAGCAGAGTGAAGGTAGGATGTATGGCTGAAGGCTGTAATGCTGCTCTTTCATTGCTATTGATACGTGCCACAGAATCACAGAATCATTGAGGTTGAGAGTGGCCTCTGGAGGTCATCTGGTGCAAGCCCCCTGCCCTAGGCAACATGTGCCAGTGTTCTGTCACCCTCACAGTAAAAAGGCGTTTCCTGATGTTCAGAGTGAACCTGCTGTGTTTTGGTTTGTGCCCATTGCCTGTTTTCCTGTCAGTGGGCACCACTGAAAAGAGCCTGGCTCCGTCCTCTTTGCACCTTCCCTTTGGGTGTTTGCGTACTTTGATAAAAACCTTAGCTTCTCCAGGCTGAACAGTCCCAGCTCTCTTAGTGTTTCCTCATAGGAGAAATGCTCCGGTCCTTTAATCATCTTCGCGGCCCTTCACTGGACTCTCTCCATTATGTCCATCTCTCTCTTCTGCTGGGGAGCCCCAAACTGGACATAGCACTCCAGGTGTGGCCTCACCAGTGCAAAGCAGAGGGGAAGGGTCACTGCCCTTGACCTGCTGGCAGCACTCCTGCTCATGCAGCCCAGGATACCATTAGCCTTATTTACAGCAAGGGCATATTGGTAGCTCATGTTTAGCTTGGCGTCTACCAAGTCCTTATCTGCAAAACTGCTTTCCAGGTGGTTGACCCCAGCATGTACTGGTGCATGGGGTTGTTCCTTCCCGTGTACAGGACTTGATATTTCCCTTTGCTAAACTTGAGGTTCCTGTCAGCCCGTTTCTCCAGCCTGTCCAGGTCCCTCTGAATGGCAGCATGACCCTCTGGCGTATCAGCCACTCCTTCCAGTTTTGTGTGGAGGTGTTGAACAGTATTTGTCCCAATATTGACCTCTGGGGTACACCGATACCTACTGGCCGCCAGCCAGACTTTGTTCCACTGATCGCCACCCTCTGGGCCTGGCCATTCAGCCAGCTTTCAGTCCACCTCACTGTCTGCTCATCCAGCCCAGTGTTGCCTGGATAAAGCTAGCTTATGCAAGGCAATTTGCAAGCCAGTTTCAGCTCAGTTGCACTGTAGATATGTCCCAACATCCTGTACGTAAGCATAGCCCAAGTGGTCCAGCTGATGTTGATGGTAGCCACTGATTGCAGAGATCAGTACTGTCGTGGTTCAAATCTGACTTCATATCAATAGGACCATAGCTGAACCTTTGTGATTATATCAGACCTTCAGTACAAATTGTAATAAAAAGCTTTAAAGCAGTTAAAAAGTAAAATAGGTGAAGAACTCTCAAAGGTAATGAAAAGCAGAAAATACTAACTATAACTTGGTGTTAAGAGCCATTAAAAAACGTTTTACAGTAAGGTACAAATATGGTGAGGAATCTGAGCAGTGAGAGGTCTTTGGGAAGGGAAGATGAGTATACCTGAAACAGCAAGATGGGCAGAGATGAATCACATTTACTGACAACTCCTTAATTACTTATAAGACAGAATAAAGATACTTCTACCAACATATCTTCCAAAAAAGAGAGGCTAATTTTCATAAGGGTTATCTTTCACTTGATTCAGTCTTGGAACTGGAGAATGGAATGGCTGGGATGTCTCTGGGGTCATTCAAGTCTTGATGGCCGAATCTGTGATGACAGGTGTGCATGTGTTTGCACATGCACATGCATACACACACATGAAGAGACAGCACATAAGGAAATGTGCTAAATGCCATATACCTGGTTAAGTATCTTTACTTCTGCAGAACCTTTTCCTTTTGTGCAAGTCCACAGAGGATTTGATAACTCGGTATCTGTTCAAACTTTTCTACTATTGTGGCATTATTCTGAAGTGGATTGTGCTCACTAGAATCTAGTGCTGAGAGATGGGTCTTCTGCTGTTTCCCACCCCAGATAAAAGGAAATTAAATTTGTACCGTCACATAGGGCTGGAGTAAGTTAAAAACTTTGGTGCCTTAAGTTGGATCCTAACATCTTCATTATGTTTTAGGCACTTCGATATCCCTACTTCCAGGTTGGGCATGCCCTGGGCGTTCAGGAGCTGGGGAAACAAAAGGAACTGCATAATAAATCGTCTCTGCATATTAAGCCTGTCCCTCCAGCACAACCGCCTCCGAAACCTCACACCCGCATTTCGTCAAGGCCTTTTCAACAAAGCCAGTCTTCTCAGCACTTGGTGTACCCGTATAAGACGGACAACTCTGGGGCTGAGCATAGTAACTACTTACAGGAGGACAAGTCTAACCAGGTTCTTCTGCCTGCAATTCACAATAAGGTTCCTCAGCAGGTAAAGGTCCATCTAGCATAAGATACACTTTGTGGTATACCACTGCCTGATTTTCCCTTAATTGTGTTTGTTTTTCTTGTTCTCTTTCAAGGTTCTTGTACTTTACTGAAAGGACAGGAATTGCGAATAAAGAATAGTTACAACTTTCTGCTAGAAACTGGAAGTTACTCTATTGAAATCTAAATCCAATTGCTATAAAACAAGCCAGTCAATTTCTCATTTGAAAGCCATTTTATGCTTCCCTTTGTTGTAAAGCACCACTTAAAGGATGACACTGTGAATTCATACGAGTAAAAAAGATGTACAGTGGTCAGAATATTAATGGAATTGATGCCAGAGAGAAAAGTATTAAGCTAAATAGTATTGAAATGAGGGGGATGGGGCTATTGCCTTCATCCATTTAAGGCATCCAGTTTATGTGACTGAGAATAATACTGCCTTTGGGCTTCTATACTGGCCATGGAAAACAAGAGAGTCTTCTTTCAGCATAAGAACCTACCATTTCTGTTGATTGTACAAGGAGACTGGATTCATAAGATAGATGATGAGAGCAGACAGTGCGAATTCTGCTGCTAAGAGATCAGTCTTAAGTAGGGTCTGTATTGGCCATATACAGAGTAGCACAAGGTTGAAATGTGCTGATGAGCTTAAATGGCTGAAGAGACACAAATTTGTACCTGTGCTGTCCTGCAAGAAAAATAGATTGTATAAATGTCTGGGCACAGGCTTGTGGAAACCTGAATGTGCGTGCAGTTTGTACTCCCAAGATGGGTCAAGAAATAAAAACTGAGTGTGAGGTAATTGTTTGGGAGGTGTATAGTGAAATATAAATAGAATTGGAATTGAGACCTAAGAAATCTATTCTTCTGTCAGGGCAAGATACTTTATTACAGGATGAAATGCAGAAGATATGTAATAATGTCTACAGGCTACAGATTGTGTTAGCATGTTTAATGAAAGATTAGGATTCTGTTATTACAGCTCTGCTACCACTATTACTCTTTGAGGCAGGGAAAAGAAGTCCTCTTTGTTCTGTCACCTGGTTTATGGTATAAGCGCATGGTTTTGTTTCTTTCCAATCTTTATAACAGAAAACATCTACTGGGACTGAGCATATAAATGGTGAACTTAAGCAAAAAACTAGGCGAAGATGGGGACATCTTGCTAGAACAGTGAAGAGTTCTGAAGACTGGGATGACTTGGAAGACCTTGATTTCAGCTCTTCTGTCACGAGGATGGACTTGAAAAACAAGAAAAGGCAGGGTGATGAAACTCTTTGTAGGTAAGTTGGTTTCTTTTATGTCCACGTGCTATTTGGTCTTACTTCCTTAGGCTTTGCCTCTTTTTTCATAATGTTGCTCTTTATGCTTTCTGTGGATCTAGAAACATATATCCAGGCGGGTAAAGGACATGCAGCTTGTCTCTCTCCTGCTTTGCCTTGGCTGCTTGTTGAATGCTGACCTTCGAATTGCAACACGTTTTTTGATGCACAGTGCATACAATTCCGTGTTCATTTTTCCCCACTGAAAATGATGCTTAGCTTAAGTCTTCCCAAGTTAATCATTGAATATGTACTTTCTATTTCACAAATGAACCATTTTGACATATTCCACACATATAAACTGTTTTGGGTGACTCTAAGCTACAGTTTCCATGGATCATACACAGTAGAGAAAAACTTACTGATTTATAAAAACTTTAAAAGCAATATATAAGGGAACTAGAAGCGCAGATCTGATTTTCAGGGGCACTATGGCTTCAGGCTGAAAATATTCACTGTTGTCTGTGTGTTTATGCTGTAGCAAATGCAGCGTGAGGAAATGATTCCTGGAGATGGGATGGAGATGAGAAGGCCAACTGTGGATAAACATACGCTGTAAGAATTGGACTAAGTGTGGCAATTTTTGGTTTATAGATTTGAAAGCATTTTGGACCTGAAGCCTTCGGATGCTGTAGGCTCTGGCAGCAGTGCACCTTCCCATGCGACCTTTCCCCGGCAGGACACTCCCACATTGCGAGTTTCTGCAGCAAAGCAACACTACTTGAGACATTCTAGGTATCTGCCTGGTTAGTAAAAAATACTTCCTTGTTTTTCTTCCTGTAATTCCAACAGCAGTATGAAATAGCCATTGGTACATTAGGCTTTATCCTTTGAGCTTGTGGAGTGGGGCTACTGCTTAAAGAAAATGAGGAGAGCAAGAGCTTTGCTAATGTAGATGGCCATGATACAAACTGCATTCTAGCAGTCTAGCAACTGAGATGAACCCTGCTTACAAGAAGGGGACAGGATTGTTGGTGGTACTTCCTCCTGCTGGATACTCTCTTATACCTTAAAGTGTGTTAGAAAATGTCTGTTGATGTGCCAAGCTATTCACTGTTTCCCTGAGAAGGGTAAGACTGGTCTTCTAGGCTGGAAAAGAAAGTCTCCTATGTTTACCTCATGAGTATATAATACCATGAACAACAGAAGCTAACTAATAGTGGGAATTTACTTTGCTGTAGCTTGGAGTTAAATAGAATGCAAATCCATGTCTCTGTAGAGGAACTGCATGCTTGTCTTCATGTTAACCTCTGCTATGCTGAGACCAGCACTGGGGCAGGATGAAGTACAGGAAGCGGACAGCATGTCTGCCTGTATTTAAAATGACCTGAGTATAAATGTATCCCGTTTCATAATTTGTGTTTACAAAGGCAGTGTTAGGTGTTCATTCACTTGTAGTACTAATACTTCAAAATTAAATAAGTAAACTAGAAGGTATTGTGATGGTAAACTCAGTCTTTTTTCCTGAAACAATTAATTGCAATGACTTTCAAATTGGATCACTTAAGTAGAGTTTTGGTAGCTAAAAGTTGTGTTACTAGAGGAGGTTGTAAAACACATTGATCCCAAGCCTGCTTTTGCTTTACCATAAATTGTGAGCACATCCTTGCATGTTAGGTACCCTGCTTAAATATGTGATGTTTATTAAATACAAATAATATGTGACATATGAACAAACTTTACTGCAAACTGTTTGAACAATCTGTGGTTTCAGTAGATACACCAAAGAAGGGTACAGTACTATGAGAAATGTAATCTACCATTATTTACTCTCAGGTTATCTGGTCACTGTTAGGCTAAAGGCTGTAAAATGCCATGTTTGATATGAAGCATAGATTTCATTTACGTTGCAAGGTTCACCTTCTGTGACTTGAGAATATTTGCGGCCTTGATGTCAGGATCCTGTTCCTTGACTTAAGCAGCCACTGATGCTAGTGGAATTACTTACACTATTATCTTTGAGGATTAGGGCCTATGACTAGTCATAGCATTGCCATATGAGAGGATGGGAAGTAACCCAGAGGCAGCTTAAATGCAAAAAGGTTTTGGTTTAGTTCATTGAACTGGACATTTGCTCTAAGATTGTACATCACATGGAATGAATGCAAGCCTGTGTAACAACAGAGATTTCAGGGCAGTAATTTCTGCATTTTTGCAATAGGAATAAGCACAAGGAATAGCATAGTCTCCACTTCCAACAAAGAGTCTGTTCCGTCTAATCCCTGGCCCAGTTCTGGTTTGCCTGGAAAAGCTTCCGCTTTGGGAGGAAGTATTAACAGGATGAATTCAGGTAAGAAGCTGTGCTTAACACTCTGAGAAAAGATAATGGGTGATGTCTCTGCAATTCCAGACAGCTGTATTTTGGGATCACCCATTTCTAATACATTGTCAGCTCCGAAGATATTTGCTACCATGTCTGTTCTGTCTGTCAAAATCAGTTATGAGCACTGTTCCTTGGATTTGGAGACTACCTTAAACTGAAACCTAGTAATTTCTTCTAATGAATCCCCAAAAGTCTGGTTTGAAGTACCATGTGCATAGAAGGTTGGACAGCTTAGGTCTGTTCAACCTGAAATACTTCATCTTGCCTTCAGTTTCCCTCATCAGTTTTTCTAAGTCATATTTTCAGGTTTACAAATTATTTTAGCCCAGCTGGTGCATAAATGACTGTCTGGAAGCTGGTCTAAATTGAACTAGCTGTACACACCATTTTTCTCTCTCGTTATGTGAATAAAGCAAATAAAATCTATCATCATGTCTTTTAAGTGATGCTGTTTAAAATAGTGAAATAATTGTAGCTTTAAAAAATTCAGACAAAAAGCAAAACTCTTCAATTTTTCTTCTTCAGGTTTTTGGGGCATTTGGTATTTCAGGTATTTAATCCCTATTATTTGATTTGAAGTAATTAATTTGTAGATTTTTACATTAGATTTTACCAGATATACTTAAACATGTTGATGTTTCTAGATTGTATCTATGTATTTCCTCTCTAAATCTTTCTTGGCTTCAGGTTTTCATGTGTTGTTACAGTTTTGCAGTGCGGTACTTGTTTTGCATATGTTGTTATGAAAACATTTGATTGAGAAAATTTCTGTTGAATTTTGGCCCAAAGAAACATTTTTGGCCTTTAGAAATTCTGGTTTAAAAAATAAAAAACTTAAAATTTTGGATGTAATTTCATCAGAAAATTGTTCTTTAAAGATTCAAGGTGGGAGGATGTTGTAAGTGGCTAAACTACATGAGAACCTTTATGTATGTAGCATATGTCTCCTTCCTGGCTCTTCTACAAGTTTTTGCTGCTTTTGTAGCTGCATAGGATATCATTAGATTTTTCCCTTTTTTACTTACTATCATAATTTCCCACAATATGCTTTGCCACTGCTCTGCTGCTCTAGTACATTACAGCATATGTGCGATGGATCTGATCTGTGCATGTTAATTTGTTTAGAGTCCATCTGTGCTATGACTCTAGACTGTTTTATTTATAACTATTTTTGTTCCAATTTCTACGGCTGATCCAGGTCAGTCAGATCTGTTCCTGCTCATCTTAGGGACAAGTTTTGTAGGTGACTTTCCAAATTTGGAACATGAATCTGTCCCAATTTATGAAGTTGTACTCTTAACTGGCTTCAGTAGGAGCTTTGTGTAGCACCAGAGTCCCAGTCTCACTGCACAGAAATCAAGAGTGAGTATATTCATAGGACCCAGCTGCTGAAAGTTAAACGAAATAATTCCAACTGAAATGCTAAGTTTTGAAAGCTTTGAGAAACCTTGAAAAAGCTGAGATGTCAGAAGGGCAATTTCTGCTTCTTTCTAAGAGTACAATTTGTACCTGTTTTCTATTCCTGATGCTGGCAGTCTCCTGAATGCAGCTATGTGTAGGATCTGTGGATTTCTAGTGTCTTCAGTGAAGTTCTTGTTTTCATCAGTCCGTGATCAGGCTTGATCTTGAATATGACCCATCAGTGCACACCTCTGTCATCTGTTGATAATGTGGGAGATCCATTGTGTTAAGCTCAAGTGTTGCTTGCCATTTCTTTCAGGGCCCGTAGGATCAAGCGGTCTAACTAGTGGTTATATCCCTTCATTTCTGAAGAAGGAAGTAGGCTCTGCTGGGCAGAGGGTTCAGTTAGCACCAGTTGTGGATCCATCTTCTAGTAAGTATCAAATTCTATTAAAAAAGGAGGCTTATTTCCTGAAGAAATAAGGATCTGGACCTGCATCCAGTTGCTGTTCTATGTGGACAGCTACTCACTGAACCTTTATCTCATGGCATTTTCTTTTGTCCCTTAGATTATGCTTCTCTGAAGTCAGTAAGACCCCATCTTGGACGGCCATCGTTCAATTCACCTACAAAAAGCACACCAAGGTTAATGCCTCTCCCACCACCAGCTCAGCCGATCCACGGGCATGTTGACTGGTCTGCAAAGTATGGTGCTCACCGGTGACGTGTGGAAATACTCTCTAAACCAGTGCGTGTTTCCCATGAAATGGTGGCTCACATCAGACAGTTTCATACTGCTTTATATACCTGTAAATTTAAAAGAAACAGATCTTCTATGAACGAGACGTTTTGAAGGGGTTTTTTACTTTCATTTGTATTACTTTGAATGCAATCCTGTACCTTTTTGTATAAAATTGTTTTGTTATATAATTGGGTCCAGTTATTTTCATAAATCGGATACATTTTGTATATATGGCTTTTAGGGGGTTTGGCATTTTTATACGATAAATTTTTATAACAAACGTTTGTAAAATTTAACTTTTCCTTTATTAGATTCAACTTTTTATAAAAAGTGGATTAAAAAAGCAAAGTGGTGCAATATTGCAGTGGAAGAGAAATACTGAGGAAGGGGCATTCGTTAGACATTTTCTGAAGTTTATGTGCTAAATGAGGCTTTATAATTTCAGTGATGCCACACTTCTGTTGTCCTATACTCATTTGCTTTGTAATGACATCAAAGGAATGAGTGACTAACAGTCTAAACTCTCCTTTGCAGTTGCTGAGAGACTGCTGAAAGTCAGTGGGAGGCTTTTTTTTTTTAATTTATTTTTGCCTTTAAAAGGGTTTTGTTGGACTGCTGTCCAGCTTTCCAGCTTTTTTTTTTTTCTTTTCCTTCTACCAAATTTAGGGAATCTTCTTGTTTGATGAAGGGTGAATACCCTTCTGTAGATCTGTTTTCTGACACAGCGCTCTTTTGTCCTGCTTCAAAGTTGCTTCTTGGCATTGTTCAGTATGAAACAGAATGTGGACCTACCTCCATTAAATTCATTTAAATGTTCTAATGTTTTCTAAGGAGAAAAATCAGATTCAGTTTCTTCTTTACTTGTTGTTGATTGGAATATAAGATCTGAAGACATATTTAAGACAGTATTAACGTTATAAAGCTGGTTTCAGAGTAACAAAGTATTAGTGACACGCCAGCAGCAGAGTTTAAGGAAACAGTATCTATGCAGCTGACTTCTTAATTTTCACAACTGTTTTAAATCACTTCTGGGAAAAAAAATCCAGAGGAAATGAGTCAGTTTAAGCTTACTTCAGTTCTTTGTCACTTACTTACTTCATTACGTCTTCACTTACAATGTGAAGAATATGTCAGCTTCTGTAAATAAGGCCCCCAGGCTCTACTGGATAAAATGGGACCTTACCTGGTCCTGCTAAAAAATGTTCTAAAATTGTGGCTGGTTTCACAGAAACTGATACAGCTCTTTGAAGAGCAGTTTAACTCAGTTTGTAAGAGAAAATGAGTTATCGGGTTATAGAGAAAAGAAAATAGCCCCACAGTCTGGTTTAATTCTGCACTGGAAAGGAGTGCCAGAGTCCAGCCATCAGCAAAAGATTCATTTAGATCACAGCCAGCGTTTGGCTGTTCCTGCACCTCCTTCCACAGAAGGAAGATAAAACAGTACAGTACTGTGGGAGAACATATTTTATAGCTGCGTTTTGGAACAGCACTACCAAAGCTGAAGTGTGCTGTGAAAATGCATCTTCCTGCAGAAGTGTACAGAAATACTCACCTTTCTGAGCTCCTTTGATGAACAGATCAGACAAATCATATATTTATGAGACTTAAATCCAGCCTAAAGGGATCAGAGCAGTTCTCAGTATCTGGCCATTTCGAAGGAGCTGAATGGCTGGTGTGTCAGTGAGATCCTGTCTGGGGGATCTGCTGGCACCCACAAGGGGCAGCCACTGTGGACTGGAGACTGACAATGCATGCTGGCCTCTTCAGTACTTCCCATGGAGAATGTGTGGGACTTTGAGGAAACTGTACCCTAGAGTAGGCTGCTGGCTCAGTGCTACCTGGGGAGCCACGAGGAGCACTGGTCAGTGTTTGCTTTTATGGACTCAGTCCACTGTGAGACAGTACAAGACAAAAAGGGAGCAAAAGGGTCTATGCATTAAAAAAAAGTATGCGTGTAAGACTTACACATGCCAAGGACATGTTCTGTGTCCAGCTACTCCATTTTTTGTTCATAGCAAGTACTAACTCCAAACCATATCTAACTGCTTCCAAAGCAGTAATGCCAATGCCTAGCAGAAAAATAAAGCAGCCATTCGATTTCTAAAGCACACACTGATGGTGTCTTTGGCTAAGTGGAAAGGGAAATATGTATATTTGTGTTAGAACTGGAAAGATAGTTATTTCTCTTGGTGGAAATAAATATCTGTATTTATGTCTAGATATCATTTAATTTATTTTATCAGTGAATAATTGGTCTCAAGAGGGAACACCCTGAACCTCTCCTAAGTATCCCTAGACCTAAGTAGGCAATTTAACTAGTCTGTGCCATACGCTTAATTCCTACTAGTGGAAGCAGGAGACGAACAAGTCACGACAACGGGCTGCTGAGGCTTAGATTCATCCTACCTAGCTGCAGGCACCTAAGTGTGAGCTCCTTTGTTGCAAGCCAACTCTTTAAACCGGTGGTGAGTGAGAATCATCTCAAGAGAAATTCAGCTCACCCAAGAACTTAGTAGCCCTCTGGAGATGCCTGGGTCCCTCCACTAAGGATGGGGACTACTCCATGTGTTTAAGCTAACACAGAATGAATCTGAACCTGGCCTGTAATCTCTGAGCCTTTATGAGCCCTGCAGTGATTTTCTTGACTATGGCATTCAGGTTTTGGTCAGTCCAGCAAAAAGATTAGAAAAAGAAGTAGTACTTTTTTTTGGCATATCTCCTCTTTCCAAAAGTAAAGCCTTTATTTTGGAAAAAAGCTAATAATCTTGATATTCAGAATCACTTCTGCTAGTTTTAACTCAGTGGGACAGAAAATCAGCAAAGTATAATGGCAGCACTTGTAGCTTTTACTCAAGCAAATTCTTACTGAAGTTGGAAAAAAGTTCTTTTTGAGTAAGGACTGAGTTGATTGAGCTATGTATTTTACTGTGCTGTCTCGGTACACAATACAGATACGGAAAAGATGTAGGTCTTTTTTACACTGAAATATGGACAAGCAACATTATCTTGAGAATTTATCATATGTAACCTACTACTATGTGTTTTAATATGTACCAGCATCTTCATGCAAAATGTTTTTAGAATTCTACTGTTTACATTTTCTCAGGCTTATGCATAACATGTTATAATGACTGTTGGAAATAAAGGAGCCTGACAGTGGACTCGTTCACCTCTGTAATCCAGATTTTCATAGAAGTATTGTGTAAGTGCCATGACGTTAGCAAAAAAAACCCCAAGCCAGAAAACCTACTTCCATGGTATTTCTGTATCTAATGAGGCTGTTGATATGAGTAGGATGTTCCATAATGTGAGAAGGAAAACATATCTCGAAAGAACATTTTTGAACTTATGTGGAAGGAGAAGGTGGAATTGTCAGAGTGAGTAAAGACATACCGGTTCTTGTTTATTCAGTGTTTTTGTTCAGAAACGTTACAAATGTTTGTTTCACTCCTGTGTCTCCTGCCCAGAATAAAGTTACTCTTGAAATACTGACTGACTAGAGTCTTGATGTTCTATTCATTTTTTAATAAAAGCACTTTAGTTTGGCTTTTGTTTGTTTAGTCATGAGGGGTTTTTTTAAGTAAGCGTTACATTTGGTGCCTTCTCGGAGGGGTACTGCCTCCTGGTAGCTGTGCTTTTACACACAGGTTCATTGGCCACGTGATTTGAGTCTAAGCATGAAATTTCTGTAGTATACCGTGAGCTTCGTGTAAAGCTAATAGTTTAGTCCTTGGATGTCAACTCCTCTGAAACTAACTGTAGTGCTGAATTAAACCAGAAGATGTATAACACCTTGGAAGGACAGGCAGTTGGACTGGATAATCACTGGGTCCCTTCCAACTGAAATACTCTATTCTGTTTTGTTTTGTTCTATAATTGTTCTGAGTGTCATGTGTCACCTCAGCCTTCTCCCCCTGCTTTCAAGGCAGTAGAAGCTGAAGACAGTTGATAACTTACAAAGACTAGGTGAAAAATACATTTACAAGTTCAAGGATGGTAGATTGTAACTGGCGTGTGTGTAAGGTGGGGAGCTCAAGGATTCGTAGGTGGGTAGGGGATGGAAGTGGGAGGAGTGATAAATGGAGGATGGCCTTCGGGGATGGAAATAAAAGTTAATTGGAATTCCTCATTGCACACATGCACACCCCCGTGTAGTGTGAATAAGGTAATACAGTAGAGGGACCGTCCGAGGGGAAAAACTGTTTCTGGCGGGGCACAAAACAATGGCAGACTGCCCCATGCAGTGCCTCACTTGGATGTGTCTGCAGTCTTGGAAGCTTGACTACCCTACGTTCTCCTACAAATGGACCTTGAGCTTGTTTGGAGGTTCTAGCAGGGGAGCGCAGCTACCGTATACCCTTGACCGATGAACGGTACGTCTCTATCGGGGAAGGTCGTCCTCTTCGACCGAGCGCGCAGCTTCGGGAGGGACGCACATGGAGCGGTGAGGGAGGAAGGGGACACCCGCCTAGCCAGCCAGATCAGCCGAATCAACCCTGGCGATCAATGGGGTGACAGATGTCGCAGCCAGATCGCCCTCACATCCAAAGCAACGCTGCGACCGTAGCGTTATATAAGGGCCAAGAAACCTCCTGCCTCCTAGCTCACGGCGAACCCGCCACCGCGCAAAGCCCAGCGACACACACCGCGGAAACACCTCTCTCTAACACCAGACGCTCCGGGCGACGGAGTTCAAACTCTTTAACCGTTCAAATTCTTTGGTTTTTCGATTACGTTTTTCGCGCAGAAGCCTTTGAGAAATATGTAGATTACCGGCTTCCTATTGGCGGTTGTCCCTCTGGTCCTACGTAGCGCTGAGGCTGGGGGCGGGGCGGCGGCGTCTGCTGGCTGGAGAGGTGGGTGAGCGCCGGCCTTCGGCTCGACTCGGCTCGGCTCGGCTCGGCTCGGGTTTTCCTCACGGGGTGGCCGCCTGCGGGCGGGTGGCGGCCTGTGGGGCTCTGCGGCGGGAAGCGCTGCTGCCTCGCTGGTTAAAAGCTGTGTATGTTCGCTTGGTTTTATTATTTTTTTTTTAATTCTCTGTGTGAATAGCGTGGGTTTCTGTGATTTCTCTTTTCCCGTCGCCACCCTGGTATCCTCTGGCTCGCTTGCCTCTGGTGGCACGGGGCTGGGGGGGCCGTGCTGGGTTCAGGTTGGCATTCGGGTGTCCGGTGAGGAGATGATAACCGCCCGGGTCAGGGGCGGCTCGCCCTGGACTTAACAGGCGCTTGTACAAGAAGCGCGTACTCCAGCGTTACTCATCTCTTATGTGAGAGCTTGCCCCGTTCTGCCCTTTGCCTCCAAGCCCTCCCCCCACCGCCAGCTATCAGCGCGACGGACCCCCATTTTGTAACGTGAACCACTCTTCATCTCGCGTCTGTGAAGAACTTGTCACGGAAGGGGTTGGAGTTGATGGCCCGGGAGGGTAAGGCCTGTCATAGCCTGAGTAGGGGACTTTCCCCCACAGGTTGGTGTTACAGGGTAGAAAAGGGCGCCCGCCGTTGGGCTGAGGGCTGCAGTGAAAATTGGGTCCTGGAGTCTTGGATCCGCAGGACATGCCAGGCGGAGCTGGTCGTCTGGCCCTTTTCACCAGTGTTCTTCTGGTCTGTGTGGCTAGGATGCGAGCGATGACTTCTTGTGCAGATAATTATGTTCCTTCTTTCCCCGTGTTAGCCCAGGTGGCCTTCATAAATCACGACAAGGGAGTAAATTCAGATCCTTTTTTCCCCCAAAGTCCCCGTTGTTGTTGAGATACCAGGCTGAGAGGAATGGCCAGCAGCCTACCTGCGATTGCGGCTCTGGGCTGCAAATTGCCATTTTTCCTCCTTTACGTCTGGTGAGAAGAACGGGGAAGGGAGAAGATCTTTGCCCATCCCCAGGGTGCTCTCTTTCCATCAGATTTCAGTTGACAAATTGGACTTTCTCTTCCAATATTGCATGGCAGGCTCAGTCTTAGGAACCAGAATGCTACAGCTTGCTTCAAAGCTTGTTGATCCCCCTGTATTTACAAGAGCATCCGCCATGTCTTTACCTTCCATTTGCCTTTGCTGCATTGGTGTGTGCTTGGCAACAGTGACTTGCTTATCTCCTGTGACATGTCAGTTGGCCTGCTAGCAGCATGTCTTAGGAAGGTGCACTGAAGAAAAGTGACTCTTCTGTTTCCTTAATTTTTTAAACTTCAAGTTAAAAATCACCTTTGGCTTTTTTTTCTTCTTCTGTGAATTTAGCTGTATTACAAGCAACTCCTGTTTCATTCTGTTCTTGCATGTAGTTCACACTGGTAGTTTTATTTAGTCTTTTTTGCTGTTTCTCCATGCACTGTTATATTTATTAACAGTATAGATACTACTCAGCAATGTTTTAGTTCCCAGTGACTTACCTGGGAAGAAATGGAGGCCCCTAAGCAGGCGTGAAAGGCGGAATAGCCTGACTCATTTGAATTCCCATGGTAAGATGCAGTCTTGTATTTTGTGTTCTGTTGTCATGCCTGTTGGCTAACAAGTGGATTGCTTGCTTCGCATGTGCTCAAGGTCTTTCAGAGGTCACTTTTCCCCTCCGCTTATGAAGGAGCTCTTGCAACATTGGGAACTGGAGGTTATTCACATGCCAACAGCCTCTTTTCCAGGATTACTCGAATTGTGAATTGGAATGAGAAGAAATCTCCGTACAGAGGGAAAACAGCTCTCAGTTGCAGCAAGGAGTTGCTATTATGGAGTTCTGCATATGAAATGCCAGTATGATGAAATTTGATGCTCCTTTGGTTTATGGCTCTACAGTGGAATCCAATTCCTGCTGAGACCTAAACACTAGTCTGTTCAAAAAATAACAATTCATAGCCTCGTTTATAAAGCCATTCAAGAACTAAAATGCTGCTTGCAAAGCGTGGTGTATTTGGTCAACTGAAAAGTCTGTAAAGTTTTGCTTGGCAACAGGGTTTATTAATAAAAAAAAGTGCCACCAGTAGAAGTATAAGTGGTGCAAAAGTCTGAATCTTTGTATTTTAATCTAGATTATTACAGAAGAAACTGGTCATTCTTTTAAAAGTTTCTACTGATTCCAGATCACATACTTACCCTGGATCACCACAGCTAGAAAGAAAAGTGAGAAGCTTTGAAAATACATTCCCATACTTCACCTAAGTATGCGTAGAATTAATGTTTACGTACTTCAGCATTCTTTGATACAAGAACTGTCAGATTTGAAAAACCTGTCTACTGCCTCTTCTCCCCTTTGATCGAAACTTGGCTTTCAGTGGTGATTGAGTAACTCCAGTGCTAAAACTTACATTTTCTAAAAGTTTTAAGGATTTCCTTAGTGGTGACTTTATTTTTTTCTGTTATCTCCTACTTCCTTGATGCTTACTTTTCCTGAATTTCAGGGGAATGAAAAGACTATGAAATACTGTGACTTGACTGTGCAGCGGTAAAACCAAATCAGTTTAGACTGAAACTTTACTGAAATGTTTTGTCAAAAATTAACTTAAATTTTTGTCATGTGAGTGACCTGTTAACCGTTATTCCAGCTGCCATCAGATTTTTGTATCATTATTAACTTACTATCTTTTATTACTATTTTAGGTAACAGGAAGTTTGAAGTCATGGCCGGAAAAACAAAACTTTACTACTTTGATGGAAGAGGCAAGATGGAGTCAATTCGCTGGTTGTTAGCTGCAGCTGGGGTCGAGGTTTGTTTTAGTGTTTTTAACTTTAAGCTGAACATTGGTAAGCTTGTCTTTGAGGCAGATCACAGGTTATTAACCAAAAAAGAAAAGGCATTCCAAGACACAATAGTAAAAGAGCATTGGCTATTCAGTATAATTAAACACTCTTACTTTAGGCACACAAAAGTATGGCATCAAGTTACATGTCTTCTGAGCAATGACACTGTAAACCAGTTTCTTGCTTAATGCAAGAATGTGTAATGCTTAATTAAGCATTTGATTACTGACCCAGAGCTGTTGAGCTGAATGATAGATGTGTTCCTGGCATAACAAGTATTATCTGTGCCAAGTAAAACAGCAACAATTTACTTTCTCTAGTCTTTCTGTTTTCAGTTGGATGCTTGCACAGATTTTTATTTTATTTTTCACTCCACTGGCTGCATCCTCCACAATAAGCTATAGCACAAAATAGATTTTGTTTTACTTGCATCATTTAGATGAGGCTTAACAGGGTGAAGTGAGCAAACTGACCCACATGTGTAGGAAAATTAGAAGTCTCAGAGCAGGAAGAAAAATATTTGGGTAAACCAGAGAAGCAAGACACCACTTTAAAATTGTTCTTTTTAATGGGATATCATTTACTTATTCATTTGCTATCTATCTTGGTGATAAACTGATAATTCAGTTTGAGGACAGAAAGGACTAGTAGTTGCTCCAAGCGTCCTCTTTAGGACTGCAGGCTGTTACACTTCATGTGGTTACCCCTGTACTGAGCCAAGGAATATGAGTGTTTCAAAAAGACTGCCAGTCTTTATCTGAAGGCCTTACAGAAGACACAACTGACTGCTTCCTGCATCATTTGTTCCTGTCTTTTAATTCTCTCTCTGTTTTTTTTTTTAATTAAAAAAAAATATTGACAGGTATCAATTATTACATTTTTCCTTGAGATATTCTTTTCCCAACTTTTCATCAGCAGAAACCTGGGTTCTGAATTTTTGACTCAGTGATCACACTTGGTATGCTTGAACATTGGCACTGTTTTAGTATGCCTAATCTTCTGGGGTTTCCCTAGTATAGCAAGTCTTAATTATTAACATAAGTTGCACAGACTTTCTGAGAGAAGTTGACTGAGGAAGGATCCTTGGGAGTCCATAGCTAGACATCTAGGGTTTGGTAAGCTCAATCATTTTCTAGTCTGCATGGTCTACATTGACTATAGACATGTATGGCATGTGCAAACATGTACATGTAGACATCTAACTTTGGTGTTTTAATCTTGAACTGAATTCCTCCGTAAGTAGCACTGATTGGACCAGCCATCCTCAACCATGTTGAATATAACTACATCATTCTGATCACGGGTAATTCTGTATCTTTTTGTTTCTCATCTAGTGAATAATTCAACTTTAGGTATCCTAAACATGCTTCTGTACTAAACTTCCTCCTGGGCATACTGCTTTTACATTATTTTGTAAAAGCTTCATTTTAACTTTCTAAGTCCTGTCTAGCTCCCAAATCAAAATATCCCACAGCAGAGCTTTTTTCCCACATACTAGAAAGAATTTTAAGGACAGCCTAGTCTGTATTGTTGACTGTCTCATGTTAAATTGCATGTTCAATACCATACAAACCATCCTCACTCCTGTTCTTATTGCCTGTTTTTCTGTTAGGGTTGCCTTTAGCAGCGTTTGTCAAAGATGACAGTCCAAGAGGTTTTGACAGTGCTTCTGCCCTTAGTATTTTCTTCCTTAGAGCCATATCTGGAATGGAGGGAACCATGATGTGTATATTCTCTTCCTTTTATGATGCTTAAAAAGTTTATCTGTTCTAGAAATGTGAAAAGATGCTAATTTCCTTTTCTTCCTCATTCTCTTTGTCAGTTTGAAGAAGAGTTTTTGGAAACTCGAGAGCAGTATGAGAAGCTCCTGCAAGGTGAGTCAACGTGAAACTTCAAGAAAAGGGTGGCCAGACTTTACTTAGTCTCTGAGAAGACTTTGAAGACACTGTGGGACTTTCTTTCCACACAGCAGAGAGGGGAGTAAAACTGAGAGCTGTGAACAGCTGCAGAGGCTGATTTTTCCCCCATATGTGGACAGATGCAATTGAAAATTGAATTTCTTTCCAACCTGTAGAATTCCCCAGGCTGGCCTCTGGGTTGTTCTGTTCTCTGTTTGTCTACATGTCCTACCTGGTCCCACAAACTTACCCTGGGCTTCAGTAACTTGAAAAAACGTATCCTAAATGTTCATTGAATGTCCTGATTTAGCTTAAGATACTGGTTTTAAGAGAGAAATTTTGGAATCTGACATTTGCTTCAACTGTGTTTTAAATAATGGAACAGAATTTTTTAACTGTATTTAGAATTGACACTTTTTACTCAGCTGATATGTTCAGTGTGATTTTCTCCACTGTATTTCAATTTCAGCATAAAAGCTGCTGTACACAGTCCTGACTGCAACTTCAGTGAAATTTTTTAAAAGCAAGTGTGTTAATCCACAATAATTGTGTTCCACAGTTTAATTTGTCTTCACTACTGTAACTTATTGTTTGTGTGGAAGAACTCCAGTTTAATATAATGACTACCCACAGCAAGCTCACCATAAAAGTAATGATATTCTGAAGACAGCAAGAAATCTGATGTGGAGTTACTAGATCCAGTAGAATAATGTGTGGCTTTCCCGTTAGGTGGATCCCTGCTGTTTCAGCAAGTGCCCATGGTGGAGATCGATGGGATGAAGATGGTGCAGACTAGAGCCATCCTCAGCTACATAGCAGCAAAGTACAACCTCTACGGGAAGGACCTGATGGAGAGAGCCCTGTACTGTAACAGTACTACTCTTGTTGAATTTATTATAGTAGCTTAGATACATCTAGAATTAATTGCATACTTGCACACCCAGAGAAGCACCTGCATGCCTCAGTGACACACAACTTGCAGTAAGCCTGACAGGCCACAGTTAGATGCAGGCCAACTGATCTGTTCTAATCTGATTATTTTTACATAAAAATTTTTTGAGGCAGGGGTTTATTGTGCTTTAGTACAGCTTGACACAGGTATTTGAGAGGTGACTAGCATGTAAATGTTGAACTACTTTTGTAAACAGAGAACTTTTTGGAAAGCAGTGGTTAGTTTTTAACTTTTGGCTGCAAAATAAGATCTGTCATTGATGCTATCTGTGATTGCATGATGTTCCACAGCACTGTGAAAAGTGCATGGTTTAGGTCTTTGAAAGTTGGGGAAAGAACAGCTAATTTTGAAAAACTTCTGGTTTCATGTGAAATTAAATCCAGGTCTTGATGTGTCTGTGAGAAGGAAAAAAAATGTGATTGGGCTGTCTCAATATGTAGCCTTTAAATGTCTATTTGCTATTGTTTTTCAAAAGAAGGAAAACTAAAGGTCAACTAGTAAAGCATCTAACTTTAATAGATACTTTAAAATAAACTGCCATTAAACAATGCAAATGGTTGGAAGAATTGGCTGAAGCAGGTTCAGGGAAGTAACAAAAAGAATTAATATTCAGACAGGAGCCTCAGTCAGTTTATCAGCTTCTTTATGTTGCTAATAAGCCATCATTTCCTGTAGTTTGCATTCCTTGCATACCTTTTGCTTCAAACAGAATTCTCTTGCATCAAGTTTTAGATTTAGCCTGAAAACTATTCCTGCTATTTTACCAGCAAATATAAATGAAGTGTATTTGTTGATTTGTTCTTGGGCAGGGGGAAGGAAGCATCAGTGCTTCGAGGAAGGCTTGCTGTTATTAGCTCCAGGCTTAAGTACTTTGGATAGCTGGTCTTGTATAGTGTGGAAGTGCAGTTTTGGAAGACTGGATTAGATGCAGGTGAGAAGGTGGCGTACATTAAGGCTTGCAGGAATATCTGATAGCTTCTTAATTGCACGTAACTTGTTTAATCCTTACAGAGGCTTTTTTGAGAAGCTGTTGCCTGACAACAAAAACTGCAGTTAGTCTTATTACACAGCAGGAACTCAAATCTCTTACCACATAGGATGGTTAGAAGACTTTGTTAGACTATTTTACCAGACACTTTATTCATATTCGTGAGGACTTAATTTGAATTTGAGTCTTGTCTACGGTACAAAACCTACTGTCAGAGCTATGGAAAAATGGATAAAAGGAATGATCTGAAGAACTGCTGTACTAATAATTAAGCTAGATGTGGAACCTGGTACAGTTCAGGTTTCCAACCCCATAATTAATCTATTTGGTACCACTTGGACTTTGGATGAAACCCTGAAGGCAGGATACATCCAGACAACTAAACCAGTTGGGGATGACTTCTTGTGGTATTGTGTGTTTCTTTGGTGATTCTAAAGTGATCTATAACACCAAAGTTAAACTTTTTTAACCTCTGTACAATCCTGTTTAATCCTGCACAATGAGGCAAGTAAAGTGCTGACAACACTATGAGTGAGACTCAGACTGTGACATATTTTCTTTTAACTCCAGAAATAATTTTCATGACGAGGGTGGGAAGTTCACCTTCTATTATCACAATGAAAATCTAAGAAGCTCTGCTTATGAAGGTGCCTTCTTATTTAAAGTTTTTGTTTGCTTTTGTTTTAAGGATTGATATGTATGTTGGAGGAACTGATGACCTTATGGGCTTCATTTTGATATTCCCATTCTTGTCGGCTGAGGATAAAGAGAAACAACATGCTGTTATAGTACAAAAGGCGACAAGCAGGTATTTCCCAGCATATGAAAAGGTATGTAGAAGGATCATTTCCTTCCATTGTTCTGGAAGGATAACAATGGGAACACCACGTATTGTACCAAAAGCAGAAGAAACAGAAAAGTATCAGTGCAGTATTTTAAACCAGGACATCACACTGTCTGCAGGCTGGAGAGATGAGAGGGGGGACAGAGCAGGTTAAATGCAGAAATTCCTAAATGAGATTTCATGGTCTGAGCAGCATCAACATTCAGACTGAAGGGTCCAAGTATCCCCTTTGGCTCAAAACTGTTATGCTCCAATGAATGTGTAAACCTAGCTATATACAGTTAAAAAAGCAACTTCCTGGTTTTAGGAAAAATGAAACTGTAACTATTTGGTTTGTGTGGCAAGGTTTCGGTAGCAGGGGGGCTGCAGGAGTGGCTTCTCTGAGAAGCTGCTAGAGGCTTCCCCCATGTCTGATAGAGCCAATGCCAGCTGGCTCCAAGTCGGACCCACCACTGGCCAAGGCCAAGCCCATCAGTGGTAGTGGCAGTGCCTCTGGGAGAACAGATTGAAAAAGGGGAAAAACCTGTGCAACAAGCTGCAGCTGGAGAGAGCAGTGAGAATGTGTGAGACAAACAACCCTGCACACCCCCAGGTCAGTGAAGAAGGAGGAGGAGGTGCTCCAGGTGCCAGAGCAGAGATTCCCCTGCAGCACCATGGGGAAGACCATGGTGAGGCAGGCTGTCCCCCTGCAGCCCAGGGAGGTCCACGGTGGAGCAGATATCCACCTGCAGCCCAGGGAGGACCCCACGCCAGAGCAGGTGGATGCCCAAAGGAGGCTGTGACCCCATGGGAAGCCCACGCTGGAGCAGGCTCCTGGCAGGACCTGTGGCCCTGTGGAGAGAGGAGCCCACGCTGGAGCAGTCTATGCCTGAAGGACTGCAGCCTGTGGGAAGGACTCACATTGGAGAAGTTTGTGAAGGACTGTCTCCTGTGGGAGAGACCCCATGGTGGAGCAGGGGACGAGTGAGGAGTCCTCCCCCTGAGGAGGAAGGAGCGGCAGAGACAAGGTGTGAGGAACTGACCCCAACCCCCATTCCCCGTCTGCCTCTGCCACTCAGGGGGAGGAGGTAGAGAATTAGGGAGTGAAGCTGAGCCCAGGAAGGAGGGAGGGGTGGAGGGAAGGTGTTCTTAAGATTTGGTTTTATTTCTCATTATCCTGCTCTGATTTGATTGGTAACAAATTAAACTAATTTCCCCACGTTGAGTCTGTTTTGCCTGTGACAGCAATTGATGAGTATCTCTCCCTGTCCTTATCTCGACTCATGAGCCTCTCATTATATTTTCTCTCCCCTGTCCAGCTGAGGAGGCAAGTGATAGAGTGGCTTTGGTGGGCACCTGGCGTCCAGCCAGGGTCAACTCACCACAGTAACTTGCATTGCAAAGGCAATGCCATTTTAGAATAGCAAACTGTCAGCTTTATTTAAATTTCAAATACATCTACTTTTTTTTTAACCACAGTAATAGACGGCTATCACTGCTGTCTTCCAGTCTGAGTGGTTTGCTGCTTAAGCCATACTGGAATCTTGGTCTTTCTCTAACTGATCTTAGAGAGGACCTAAGAGGTGCTCTCAATGGAAATTAACATACATAGGCAGGATGATCTGGCAGAAATAGCTGCTTTTCTGTTTTAAAGACTAAAGGGAAGACAGTTTCCAACCTAAATACCAGCTCTCCTATAGATGGCTGCCAGAGTTCATTCTACCCTAGATTCCATTTGTTGCATCATAGCCCCAATGCTTTAGGCTGATCACCTCTCTTTTACATTCTCTATTTTCCCACTGAAGCTGTAACTACATACAGAAAAATTCAAGATTGATTACGCTGGAAAGGAGTGAATACCAAGGAGGTATCTAACCCTGTAGTCCAGTCTGTGGGGTTACCTAGGGCTATAGGAGAAACCCTGGGATTCTAGACTGCCGCTGTGAGGACTGCTCACAGATATCCCGTAAAATGGTCAGTGATCACAGGCACTGGGCCCACATTCCCCACACTATTACTATCCCTAGTTGCATAGGAGAAAAAGGTGAAAAGAAGAGGAGGCAGTAAGTATTGTCAAAGAAGGTGTGCTTGTGCATTTTGAAAACATCAACCTCAGCTGGCTATCCACATCTGAACATTTTTATTTATGACGCTTCTAGGTTTTGAAAGACCATGGGCAGGACTTTCTCGTTGGCAACAGTTTTAGCTGGGCAGATGTTCATCTTCTTGAAGCCATTTTAATGGTAGAAGAGAAGAAGTCAGATGTGCTCTTAGGCTTTCCTCAGTTACAGGTACCTTACACTAACAATACACTCATGGCTGGAAATGTGATAAATGATATTTCAAAATCTGTTGTGTGTAGATAATTTCACAAAACAAGAGCATTTGTCACTCCTCTTCCTTTGTAGTCTTGTTCTTCTTGCTTTAGGAAGAACCTCGTAATATGTTTCATCTAGAGAACCTATTTTCTGGAGTAATTCCTGTACAGATCTGAAGAAATCCACCCTCCTTTTTTTTTTTCCATCCCCTCACCAGTTCTGTGATACCTTTAAGCAGAAGATATTTTCTGGATCACAAGAAGTGATCTGTGTAAAGTACACGTCTGAAACCACAGATAACTGTTTCCACTTCATCCCATATCAATACAAGACAGAGGGCTGTTTTATTACTCTTTAACAAGGGGGGGGAGGGGGAGTAAAATTCATCCATGGCTAAAACTGTATTTCCTGTCTTGCCTTCACATACAACTTTTTGAAGGATGTTACACAAATCAGTAAAATTGTTTTTTCTTGTGTTACTTCCTGTTCTTTAAATACCATGTACTTACTGTTTACCTTTTTAGGCATTTAAAGCAAGGATAAGCAGCATCCCCACAATCAAGAAATTTCTAGAGCCAGGAAGCCAGAGAAAACCTGTTCCTGATGATAAATACGTGGAGACGGTGAGGAGAGTTCTCCACATGTATCATGACAAGAAAGCGAATTAGTGTGCCAGGCTAGAACAGCAGTTGTGCTCAGTTTAAGAGAACTATCAGATTGCACATGTACAATTATACTGCAGAGAGAAGGTGAAGGGCTGTTTGAAAGGAGTTTCAATGGGCAGTATCTTATGTTCTTTCATACAAAATACAGTAGGCAGGTATCTTTTATAACACTTTACTACTAGCCTATTTTTTTCCTTCATTCTTGAGATTTTTTTTGGTAACTTTAAGCAAGTGAAGTGGCAGCAAGCATGCTGTCTTCCTGGAGACTTTGGAAAAGCGAAAAAGAAAGAAATGTGAGTTGCTGACTGGCAGCTTCAGCATATTCTGCTACTTCTGAGAACTTTCTTCTGAGATCCAGATCAGATTTTTGTATGATGATTGCTTCCAATTCAGGCCTTTATTGTTTTTAGTATCACTGTAGGCAAATGAAACAAGTGGTTTTTAAAGAAAGTATGAGGAAGGTGTTTCTCTTGCCAGTTTTATTGGACATCAGTGACTTGTCTGAAATATCAGCATTGTGCCTTTATAACTAAGCTGCACTTTTCTCTCATTACTGAATTAGGAAACAAATTGACTGCCAAATGGCATTTTTTTTGTGTAACTGCTGTATGTAGAGGATCTGTTCTAATCAAATAAACTTTTTACTTTTATGTGGTTGTGTTGTCATGTTGTGTCATGAATGAAAGTTGGGGCTTGCAAACTCCATTTTTACTTTTCTTGGAGGATAAATTCTTTATACTTCATATGAAGAGGATCCTTGTTAATCCATAAGCCTCATGCAAAGGCATTTCATTTGCATTTATAAACCAGAGCAGGGACATGTGAAGGAGAGGTAGTAAACCGTCACACAAACCTGGTATAGTTCCTAAGGTTTAATACCTTCCAAACTTAAAATGTTATTTCTTTTCCTCCTTTTTTTTTTTTTTTTAAATCTATGGTTCAGCAGATGACTTGACAAAGGAATTTCAAATGCTTTTAATCACTTCAATAAATTGCACTGATGCTTTGAAAAGCTGCTCTGTAGGATGTTGTCTTGGGGTTTCACATCTGTTATTTTTAGTTCTATATTAATGATACAGTTTACAAGAAAAGACTTGTGTGCAATCCCTAATGGCATTGTTTAATTCTTGTGTTAGCTATGGGTTGAGAAATAAGATGCTGCTTGACCTTGGAATGCTGTGAGTACACTTGTCTGATATTTGATGAATGAGTTGCCCACTTGAGAGCTCATCAATCTCCCCAGCTTCAGCGTGACTGAAGTTCTCAGCACTATAAATACTTTTCCTTCATTGCCAGGAATTACAAGGTTTATATTGACCTACAGTGTCTTATCTGTCACCTGCCTTCCTAATGTCAATTGCAATTACAGTTTGGTCCTTGGTTTAATCCCAGATTAGTTTTATATGAAAGTTTGGAAAACCCTGTGGTTGATCTCAATTCCTTTGCTAAGTGAACTTTTTCACCAGAATATGAGGAAAGTTGTGGTATAATGCTGTTCAAACAAATGTTCCATGAGCAAAGATGCAGAAGACATAGGAGGTGACTGTCTGCCAGTACTGGCTGGGGGTAAGCCTAAGAGCTGATGGTCATATATGGTGGGTTGACCCTGGCTGGACGCCAGGTGCCCACCAAAGCTGTTCTATCACTCCCCTTCTCAGCTGGACAGGGGAGAGAAAATAGAGCAAAAGGCTCATGGGTCGAGATAAGGACTGGCAGAGATCACTCCCCAATTACTGTCATGGGCAAAACAGACTTGACATGGGCAAATTAGTTTAATTTGTTACCAATCAAATCAGAGTAGGGTAATGAGAAATAAAACCAAACCTTAAAACACCTTCCCCCCACCCCTCCCTCCTTCCCACCTCAACCCCACTCCCAGTTTTCTCTCCTTTCTCCCCCCGGCAGCGCAGGGGGATGGAGAATGGGGGTTGGGGTCAGTTCCTCACACCTTGTCTCTGCCGCTCCTTCCTCCTCAGGGGGAGGACTCCGCATTCGGCCTCTGCTCCACTGTGGGGTCCCTCCCACAGGAGACAGTCCTTCACGAACTTCTCCACCGTGGGTCCATTCCACAGGCTGCAGTCCTTCAGGAGCACACTGCTCCAGCATGGATCCCCCACGGGGTCACAAGTCCTGCCAGAAAACCTGCTCCAGCGTGGGCTCCTCTCTCCACGGGCCACAGGTCCTGCCAGGAGCCTGCTCCAGCACGGGCTTCCCATGGGGTCACAGCCTCCTTCGGGCATCCCCCTGCTCCGGCGTGGGGTCCTCCCCGGGCTGCAGGTGGAGATCTGCTCCCCCATGGACCTCCCTGGGCTGCAGGGGGACAGCCTGCCTCACCATGGTCTTCCCCACGGGCTGCAGGGGAATCTCTGCTCTGGCAACCCTGTACTGCTCCAGGTCTGGCCCAACTGATGGGTCATTTCCTGATATTTCAGTAAATAGTTGATGAGAACTTGTATTCTGTTTATTTTTTTATTTATCTTCTTGATTTGGTTTGAGGTAAAGACACCTAAACTTGTTTATATGTGACCTAGTGTGTACTTCTTCTAACATGTACAGCCATTTTTGCTTATGCTATCATTGCAGGCCTTACATGGTGTGACAGTCCTGTGGGTTAACCCTGTCTAAGGATGCAGCATTTCTTATGTGGATATTCCCACACAGGTTTGTCAGTTTAGTTTCTAACCTGTATGGAGTGTGATCTTTCAAATTTTGGGCAAACGAGGGAGGAAATCAGCTTATATCTAAGTCTTTTGTAAAAGATCCCCATACCGAATATCCTTGAGTCCTGGTACAGCTCTCTAGCAGCAATTATTACAGTCTTTAGCTGACTTTGGTAAAACTTTTAAGACACATCAGAGCACCTGAGTTCTGTTACCAGCCTTCAAGACAGTAGTGAGCAAAGAAGATATACAGACGTTTGTTGCCGTTTCTCCTATGTCTCTTGATGTTGCTGGCCCAGTAATTCCTGGCTCAAAAATAGTTAAGAATGCATGATAACCTCATGAATTCACTGTTAACTGTGAGGTTCACTCTTAACTGTCCAAAGCATTTAGGTGTTAGACAGGCAGTTTTGATGCATTTTCCAAGAAGGACTTGGGTTTGTCTTCAACCCTTGCTCTGGTATGACCTATTTATGTACAAATTGGCCTGCAGCATTATTCCAATAGCCACGCAAAAGTTATGCTTAGTGGGAGTAAGGGTTGTGGTCCTACACAACCTGTTTTCGTTTAAAACATTCGCTGACAATGAAATTGCAAGTTCATTCCCATTGAAAGCACTGGGAGAATTCTCATTGATTTAACAGTGAGTCCAGAATATAGGCTTTAGTACAAGTTAGCGTTTCTGGTGACGGTGTGGGATTTTTATAGATTACTCTGCATTGTGTTTGCATGTATTTTGGTAGGCTGCAGTTAATTCCAATGGATCTTTAGTATTTGGGTGAGCACTTCTGAAGGGGCAAAAGAAGTGCCAGCTATTCACAGGGATTTTGCAGATCTCCTGCATGCTTCTTGCGGCAGTTCTTCATACCTGAGTATAGCAACACTAACCAAAAAAAAGCAAGATGCCAAATTCAGGCAAAGCTAGTCGGATAAACTGACTGGAGGGTTCCTAACACTTACAGCAGGCATTTGACAGATTTTTCTATGCTTAGTAGAGAGATACAAAATCCCTGCAAGAGTTATACTTATTTCTGATGTCTTTACTGTGTACTCTATTCATAGTGAATAGTTCAGGCTGTGCTTTTACAGCCAACTCCCTCACCAAAAAAGACGGGCCTTCCTTGTCTATACCATCTCCTTCCCTGCTTTTCTTGCCTTCCAACATAAGCTGAACCGGTTGAAAACTCTAGACTATTTATTTTAAGGGTGATTTTTTACTGGATCAGACATTTAATCACACAGTCAGCTAGATTGCTGGTGCCAGCACAAGTTAGGCATTAAGAACAAGTGTCTGCGAGCCACAGAGGGGCTATGACCACTCCCTTAATTGCACTCTTCTCAGTTGTGTGGATCAGCTTAAGCATTTATAAAACTACTGCCAAAACATACTGGATACATGAGTACAGCAGTCAACATGCTCCTACAAAATAACTTTTTGTAAGTAATTTTCCCTTAGTGAATCACTTTCCTGATCCCTGAGAGGATCATCACTATGCTTCCTATACAATGCAGTTACCACTATTGCTGTACTTAGGCACAGAAATGCATATTTTTAAAAAGATGTATTTTATGGTAAGAATTTTTTGGTTTTACCTCAGTAACAATCACCTTTCAACACTAAAATGTCTTTGTTCCTGGCCCATATTTAACAGCATGCTGTGTCTTTATCCCCCTGTTTAGGGCCATAGGAAAGTGGCTACAGCCTGAGGTCATCTTTCCTAACACACTTACCTTGTTACCTTTCCAGTTTGAAGGAGAATTTCTGGAAAGCAGAGACCAGTCTAGGAAGTTACTGCAAGGTAGGATGTTTGACAGTCTTGAATGACTTCTACCAGATTTTGTTACCTTGCGTACTGCCATGCAAACCAGTCTCCAGCTTTCCCAGCCTGAGTGAATATTAGCTCAAAATGATCAAAGGAGTGTGCATTTAGTGCTTAGGCTCAGGCTGCTACCTGCCATCTTTTTCCTTCTGTCAGTAGTTGTGATGGGGTGACCTTGGTGGGCTGCCAGATGCCCCCGCAGATGCTCTCTCACTGCCCCTCCTCAACAGGATGGGAAGAGAAAATAAGATGAAAAAGCTTGTGGGCTGAGATAAAAACAGGGAGATCACTTACCAATTACTATCATAGGCAAAACAGACTTGATTTGGGGAAAATTAGTTTTCATTTATTGCCAATTAATATAGAGTTGGATGGTAAAAAACTAAGACAAAAGCTTAAACACCTTCTTCCCACTCTTCTTCCCAGGCTCAACTTCCCTCTTTTGTTCCCGACTCCTCTACCTCCTCCCCTCCTTCTCCTCTTGTGTTCACAGGGCTGTTTCTCACAGCTTTTCCCTCACACACTACCGTGCAGTGTTTTGCCCCTTCTTAAATATATTTATGCCAAGGCACCCCCACCTTGTCTGCGGGGCTGAGCGGTGCCCTGGGGTGGGTGGGTTGGAGCCGGCTGGAACCGGCTGGAACCGGCTGTGGCCGGCTTGGGGCAGCCCCGGCCGCTCCTCACAGAGGCCGCCCGGCAGGTCCCCCTGCCAGTAGCTGGGTGCCTACACCCCATACATAAGTATCTGTTTTTATGTGGTACAAATAAGCTTGCCCCTTGGCTGGTGTTTTGGGTCTGTGTGTTGGGGTTTTGGTAGCGGGGCAGGGGCTGCAGGGCCGGCTCCTGTGAGAAGCTGCCAGAAGCTTCCCCGGCTCCGAGTCGGACCCGCCGCTGGCCCAGGCCGAGCCCGTCAGTGACGGCGGTAGCGCCTCTGGGAGAAGAGAGTTCAGAAGGGGAAAAAACCTGCAGTGAGGGAGGGGATCGGAATGGGAGAGGAACCCCTGTGCAGATCCCGAGGGGAGTGAGGAAGGAGGGGAGGAGGAGCGGGGGAGGAGGGGATGCCCCTGCAGCCCGTGGGGAGACCAGACGGCAGGCTGTCCCCCCCCAGCCCACGGAGGGGAGCGGGGGAGCAGATGCCCACCTGCAGCCCGGGGAGAGAGGAGC